AAAAAAAAAAAAAAAAAAAAAAAAAAAAAAAAAAAAAAAAAGAGGGAAAGCAAAGCAGTGCAGTGCAAGGCAAGAGAAAAAGACAAGGGAATGAAAGAGATTTAGCATGGTTGTAAATGTGGGACTTTTCTTTCCAAATCGAGAAGTTGGAGGTCACTACTTATTCAAATCAAGAGAGTGTGGCTGTCATTGGTAATTGATCACAGCCTGTCATTGCAGTACATATCTATAATACTGTTCTATACAGTCATACAAAAGTCTACTAACCACTATCATCCATTATTAACTCTGGTAAATCAGAGTAGTCTCCTTCGTCTTCATCAGAAACAAGGGGTGAAATTTGTGCTTCGACACTGGATATACGCTGTCGTTTGCTAGTGGGTTGGGAAGAAGGACTACAGCTTCTGCCTGGAATGGAAATAAAGGATATACATTCATATTGTGGATATACTACTAAAGTCCTTAGAAAGGGCTGCCTGCCAGTGGCCAGATTACAAGTCATATTTTACTACTGACAGGCTTTATAATTATTTATTTGTCTCTAGCTGAATGGAGAAAAAAAGTCCATGATAAGAATCGAACCCATGACATTCTGGATACCGGAAAGATTCATGATGAGTGCCCATTTCCTGGTTTCGTTATGACATCCTTAAGACCTGCACACTGCTAGGTTGTCATATTTTACTACTGACAGTCTGRATACCGGTCAGATGCTCTATCACTGGGGTACAGGAAAGATTCATCATGAGTGGTAGCCTGCGTCACATCTGGAATTTTCTTCGAAGAAAATTCCGGATGTGACGCAGGCTACATGAGTGATCATTTCCTGGTTTCATTATGACATCTATAAGACCTGTACACTGCTAGGTTGTCATATTTTACTACTGACAGTCTGGATACTGGTCAGATGCTCTACCACTGGGGTACAGGAAAGATTCATGATGAGTGCCCATTTCCTGGTTTCATTATGACATCTATAAGAACTGCACACTGCTAGGTTGTCATATTTTACTACTGACAGTGGATACTGGTCAGATGCTCTACCACTGGGGTACAGGAAAGATTCATGATGAGTGCCCATTTCCTGGTTTCAATATGACATCTATAAGACCTGCACCCTGCTAGGTTGTAGGCTAGCCATGCCCTGTGTTAGGCCAGTCCAAAGGTTTTTTCAGTGAATCGTTTGTAGTAATATTACCTTTACTAAACAGGATTGCTTGCTGGACCAGCTCTCCTGTCTGGCTGCACTTCTTCTGTGCCTGTAGGTTGATTGCAATAGCCTTGTCGTAAAAGCCCAAGTGGTAATATGCCTTAGCATACCGAAAATAGCCCTAGTGTAACAAAAGAGGTGAACACATATTATCCCTCATGTTAGTTATTTAAACATTATCAGTCATCACCAGCAGAGCTTTCAATAAAAGGTGGCTACCAGCGGTTAATTGCCGGATACTTCACCTTAAATTTCAGGCTATTTTGAGAAAAAAATTCATTCATTTTCAAAGAAAGTTATATACAAACACCAGTGGATTCAGCCCCCTATTTTTTAGTACTATACCTACTACAAATACTATTGAAAGCTCTGCACCAGGATCTTTGAAGCTCATTAGGGGAGTACAATTTATTGCAGCAGTCAGGGAGGCCACTAATAGAGGTTGGCTGAAAAATGTAGTGATACAAGACCAMTCACCTGAAGTGCAACACTGTTAGGTTGCAAGTTGCAGCTTCACACACGACAAATTTTCATTGTTGCAAAGAGTTTCTACTTGATCACAAAGCAATATGCAATTTTTTTGTGTAAGGTGTGCTAATATCAGCAGCAATTGCTTTGCATCTTGCAATGCAACAACGTTGCACTACGAGTTGTGCAATTTTGTTGCTTGTATTACAGCAATGTTAAAAATTACTAATACAAGAGACCATGGTCTATGATGTATCATACAAAATGTACCTTGTCCCAAGACGGATTCAAACAGATTGCTCTTCTTGCATCTGAGAGAGCTTCTCTGTAACAAGAAAGCAATGACAAGAAAATTCAACATTCAAAATTTCAACATATTATTAACATATTATTTATTAAAAGAATGCAGTTTTCAACATTATGCAAACTTGGTAGTTCCAAGCTGTACACTAAAATTTCATTTTTCGCTTACGTCAATCAAGAATAATCAGTAACTGTTAGTACCTATTTTAATGTTGAATGACAGCAGTAAAAAAATTCAATTGTAAAGGGCAACTTGCAACTACTGAGCTTAAATATCAATAATACCAGTAAACTAACATACCAGGGCACCCTAAGTTGCAGTTTATCATAATTGACATACCTATATTTTGCAGCACTCAGGTAGCTCTGTGCTCTATTCCCGTACAGGACAGCATCAAAAGGCCTAAGATGATATATAAAGATTTTTTAGGCTGTAAGTGTGTGCCCAATGATTAAAACCTGCTATGTACAGTGTGTGATTCCTAGGAATAAAAAAATATACTAGAAGAATGGCAGCTAGGTAGAATACTCCAGTTTCGAGTTCTCTTTGCTCAGTCTTAGTCTCGGTTGTGCGTTATAATATTCAGCTACTCAACAATAACCTGTGGCATTTTAATCAATTTGTATTGTTCCATAGTACATACATTCCTTACTATACAATGGAGCTTAATGAAAGAAAAGAACACAATTGTATACAATCGAGGCTAAGACTGATAGGCAAAGGCGAACTCAAAATGGGAGTATTAGTCATTTTACAAACTAGCAAGGGACTGGGTGAGGTTTTTTTATTTCATTTCCTTAGGAAAAAACTTGTGTCATTTGAGTAAGCATCTCAAGATGTAAGTCAGAAGTAAGTAAGTCTGGCAAATTGGAACATGGTAGAATGAAAAGAMCCAGAATTATTGGCTTTTAAAAGTGTCAAAAATTTACAAAAAAAACCATAACCATGTAGTATTTTTTGAAGGTTTGTAAATCTGTCTCTTTAATGATATCGTTCATAATTCAAAGTTATCATTAATGGTATAATGCCAAAAGCCTTTAGAAAGTAAGTTAGAGTGATGTTTAGAAGGAGGTCAATGGTTATCGCAACAAAGATAGTTACCACCAAACTAGACAGATCATTTAATTTTATAAATGCACCAGTTGAATAACAAATGTGGCATATTGCAGACAGGTTTATGGACAACAGTAGCGGCTTATGGTTGACTGTACCTTAGCTTGATGGCCTGACTGTAATATGAACATGCTTTGTTGTACTTCTTAGCATTGAACAACCCATTGCCTTTCAGCTTCAGTTCATCACATCTCTAAATAACAAGAAGAAATACATATGTAGATATAGCAACATCTTATTGGTTTAAGTTGCGCGCGCAAATACTTTTCTAGTTTGTATAAATCATTGTTTATAACTGATTACTTTAGCCCTGATGATGCACTAGTGGTGTGAAAGCTTGGTAAAAATAACGTGGTATAAACAAATTTTAGCTCAGTTGGTAAGAGCGCCGGTCTGTTGTGCGGGAGGTCGTGGTTCAACACTCAGGGTCTCAAAATAATTGAGAAGGTGCTGCCTTTGTAATTACATCTGCAAATGGTTAGACCTTCACGTGGCTCGGATGATCACGTTAATGGCGGTCCCATCCCTAATTAACTAGAGACATTAAAAGAGGACCACGAGTTTATCAGTTGAATTACTGTCAAGTGTTATCCTCTATAAACAAAGTTAATTTATTTTAATCATGGTACCCACATGTAACAATATTCTAAACGATAAGAAATTTCAATCCAATTTATTGTATAATATACTACAACTAGAGTTTATACTAGGTTTTCAAGGTATGTGTGTGTGTGTATCATCTTCACATTAATTTTTGTGCATAAGATCAGGGCTTAAAATAACGGCCAGAATTGGAACTTGTCCAGTTTAATTTTTTCCTTACGAAACGAGTCATGACTAAGCTTAAACCGTTTTGGCCAGTCATCATGACCATTGACTTACTGGCCTTCATTTTAAATCCTGAAAATATGCATATTTGTGTGTTACTGCGATTCTCAATATTCTATGTAAAAATGTATGTACATAATCCAACAGGTGAAATTGGTTTTCACTGCGATAAATCAAAATGACAGTCTTCCAAAACAAAAACTGTAAACAAATCCCTCAGATTTGATTGCCTGAATGAGAATGAAATAGAAAACATGCCTACATGCCATGTTAGTCTCTCTTGTTTGTATGCGTGCTGTATACACTCAAGTGAAGAATCGTTGTTGGGTTCAGAAACATAGAGCATAGAAGCCAGGGCTTCTGACAGGATATGCGGGTGCGGACCCGCATAATTCGCCTTTTTCCGCACAATCCAACGATTTCCGCATAATCCGGCAAAATCCCGCATAATTCGTCAAAAATCTAAAGAAAACTTAATAATCAAGAAGAAGTGTATTATAATGTTTTCTTATTTTGATGAAATTACGAATTTTGTATAGTTTACTTACCAAATTTCAAGCAATAAACAGCGTTTAAAACTGTTTATTGAGTCATACGTGTAATGAAAAGGAACAAGGCGTTCTTAGTTAAAAACCGTGAAAGAGCCTGGTAACTAGCCTTAAATAAAACATACTCTCTGATTGGCTAGAAGTGTATTCGCAGACAAAATTTTCGCGCGTAAAATAATATTTCTCTCGTAAACATTTGAGATCTAGCAACTTCTATAATAGCTCAAAATGGATAAATTCATTATGAAACCGTTAATTATGGAAAAAAAGAAGAAATTAACACGATTTAAATTATGCTATTTATAAGGATTTTTGATTTTGTGGAGCGAGTTAATTTCCTATAATAAGGCGTACATAATAGATAATCTATTACTGCGCAGTAACTACGAATATGCAAACGATATATTGTTGTGCAAGGTGAGGTGAGGTGGTAAATAACGTTCAGATTTTTTGTTAAGCTTCAAAAACAGATCATAAATTTAAGGTTTCAAAAAAAAAAAACATTCAAAGCAATGTTTTGGAGAGAAACATATCGAGAAGAATTGAGTGTAGTGCGAAAAACAAGATTACACGTGTGGATTAAAAACCTGAGATAAACAAGGGCCGTGTCAAATAAAGAAGCAAAATCAAGGTAAAACCGTAAATAATTGCGTAAAACTTTAGTTAAACAAAGTTTGGAGCTAAGTAAAGAAGCAAAATTTTAAAAAAACATGTATAATCCTGTAAAATAAAAATTCAGAATATTTTTCGATTGTGACGTCATCCTGCATCCTATTCCGCATAATTTGCCATTTTCTCCGCATAATCCAAAAAAAAATCATTTCAATTTTTTCCCCGCATCCTGTCAGAAGCCCTGAGAAGCTGAGACCGAAATGGCACCTGGGAAGTATGTTAATTAGATGCATGCTGTGACCGGCGACCCGTGGCATCATCCAAACTTAAACGCAGGTCTTTTCAACACGTGTTTGGCATTCTAAACCGACTGCATGGATGTCGCAAATGAATAAATCATAATATGATTATGTCATTTCCCATGTGCCACTTGTGTCTCAGCTTTCATGTTTTATGTTTCTGAACCCGACAACGATTCTTCAATTGAGTGTATTGGTTTGCTAGGTATCTAGACATAGTGATGTAACATACAACTCTCAATTACATACCCCGTTGTTGTCTTTCACAAGCTGTTCAAATGCATCAGTCTGATCTCCAACCTTCTGAATATGATTCATTGCTGGATACAACAAACATACAACTGTTAATATTACTGCACACAGTGTACAGGGTGACACTGGCATATGGAGGGTGGAGTACAAGGGGGCACGTGCCCCCTACCCACCCCCCCCAATATTTTTTGGTAATTAATTGAAAGTAGTTTTGTAAGTTGTTTAAAATTATCGTTTCAATAAGAAATTTTAATATTGAATTAATATACCCCTTGCGGCATGTTGGAATTCAGCTCATAGGTTTCCAATTCTCTTGAGATTGAAATTCTTTTGTTTTGTCCTCCAAATTGAGCTGCTTTAGCGTCACATGTGAGGGGACTATATAGATTTTTTATATATACTTTTTCATTCTAAGTTTCTCCCCCCCCCCTCCCCCAATCCTGAAAAGAAATGGGACTGTGGGGCTAAGACTAATGTCTACTCAATGGGTAGACATGATGTCATTTGGCCAATCATCAGACCGATCAACATGTCGTTGACTGGTCAACTGGAACCAGCCCACTAGCCAGACAGTAGCATTACCAAGGAAATAATTCAAACCAAGTTGGTGGCCTTATATTCATTTCTTCTCTTGAAGAAAGAAATTTTGGGTCTTCCTTATTGTAGCAAGCTTTATTTTATTTTATTGTTGTTTTTTTTTTTTTTTTTTTGGTTTTTTTTGCAGGGTATTGTTTAGCTCCAAATTCATTGTCCTTGGCTATTGCTTTATTGTCTTCATGCTTCAGGTGCCTTGCAACAGCCTTGGTTAGGATTATGAGAAGCTGGAAGTATTGCCTATTTCTTCTATTTACTTTGAGATTTTTCTTGGTAGGAGCAAAGATCTTTTTGTACCTTGATTTAATAAAACTAGAATGATCAATCCAGTGTCATCCCTTGGGAGCTTGTTACTTGGAAGGAAGTTTGAAAACTTCCTAAAAAAAGATGCAATAAGAGGAAATTAATGATGGAAAGCAACTGAACATTTGTTTATTCAGTCAGCCTGCTGGTTGGTCATGCCAGTCATCCATTGGTCGGTTGGTTGGTCAGTGGGTCAGTCAGTCAGGTAGTCAATCAGTGGTCAGTCAGCAAGTCAGTTGTGTCAGTCAGTAAATCAGTGAGATTGTGGTTCAGTCAGTCAGCAGTCAATCAGTAAGTGGGACAATCAATGGTTCAGTTAGTGAGACAGTCAGTGAGTGTTGTTATTCAGTCGTTGTGCCAGTCACTCATCAATCAGTCGTTGTGTGAGTCTATCAGTGGCTCAGTCAGCAAGTCTTGTCAGTCAGTCTGGCATTCAGTGGGTCAATCAGTCAATCATAACATAGATAATATTTATTATCATAATATTTATTGTCATAAATAATAATATACTCACTTCAAAAGCACATCAATAAGTTGGCAATTCTTGGCCATATTCAGTGCATCAGACAATAAATGACACTAATAAAGGAAAATACCATAGCAGGACAAATTAAAATAAACTAACAGTATTTATAGGGAGGAAATCCAAGGACTGTCCTGCTTTGAAAGTCTTTGTGGTATGTCATCCAGCATATACATGTTGTATTGCTTACTATCAATCACATGACTTTTTTGTACTATAGTTGACTGGAGGCTACTTAGAAGTTATCAGTCTGATAAGCATCTGATACGGCTGTGTATTTTTATGAGTCAGTGACGAGTAAAAATGCAAGCCGTATAAGATGTTTAGCCTACTGATAATGTGTTTATCAATTACTTCTGCAAAGAAATGCTCAAACTCTCTCTAAACTCTATCGTACCCAGCGCGAGCAGATGAGAAGACAGTGCTGATACGGTCTCATGTCACGGTATCACACGTTCTTTGCATAATTAAATGATAACGTTCCAAAATTTTACACACCTCTTTTGTCTGTTCTACTACATGGAAGACATCATAAAGAAAACAAGGAGAATTCTATGGAAAGATAAATTTAAACAGAAATCAGTAAATATAAGGCCATTAATTAAGATAGACCAACTCCCAGATAGCTCTGTTATACAACCGAGGTCGTGGGTTCAAGACTCCGCGGCCGCTCTCACACTTAAGTCTCAGTCTTAAAATATTTGAGTAGAAGGTGCTGCCTTTGATCTAAAAAAGTCTGTACCCTCCAAATTATATAATAAATAAAATGACATACCATAAGTGAAAGAATCATATCCACTGCTTCTTCTGCACAGTCGGCAACACTGATATGCTTGTCAGATAACAGTTCGCTAGATTTGGTTGAAACAATAGTAATAACTGCTGTGAATTACTTAGAACTAAGCGCACTATGCTTAAATGTTACACCCATGTGTAAAAAATCAAATATCTTATTTTTTGTCAATTTTTTTAATAGTAAAATTTAGTTGAACCCTGAACTGTATAAAAATATATGGTTCCTTGATATTGACCACACATGTAGCTAATACAGGAGTAGGCATTTTGCATGATACTTGTACTTAAAAGCCAAAATAAACCCTGATACTTTAACCACTTTATTGAAATTGCTGGAACACAAAGGAGTCAAAGACAACAATTTATTATCTCTGTCCATACTCTAGCAATAATACATATGTTGCATAAGGTTCTAAAAATGTATTTTTATGTATATAATTCAAGTAAAGAAATCATAATAAGATTTACCATGTCATTTTTAAGGCCGGTTTAGACGGTATGATTTTTGCCTACAACTATTGCCTACAATCCATTTGCAGCAAAAAAAGAAGCAATGTATTAATTACCTTTGTTTTGGTATTAGCTGTTTTTGCTGTAACCAGGTTACCACCTGTAAAGAGCAACAAGGACTTGTTGGTGTGTGTGTGACTCAAAGGACTCAAAGAACGTTTAGCTAAGCATCAAAAGTGGTTTAATGTAATCAGACATTTCATAATTAAACTTAATCAGTTATTATTTACTTGTATTGTCAGTGGTCAAATGTATTTGGTCAAATGTCCAGCCAAGGTAAGGCACATTATTTACTAGTTAATACAATGGTCCCTTTTACTAAACATTTGTCCGATGATTGCATCTTATTCGCAGCCTTGTAAAGACAAAGACAATCGTAACAAAGGTGATGATGATGAAGAAAATTCTTGCAATGATGAGAACTATTAGAATAATGATGTTTAACGGTAGTGATGTGAACTATGTAGAATGATGATTATTTAACCGTAGTGACGTGAACTGTGTAGAATGATGATTATTTAACCGTAGTGATGAGCACTATATAGAATGATGATTATTTAACCGTAGTGATGTGAACTATGTAGAATGATGATTATNGTAGTGATGAGCACTATATAGAATGATGATTATTTAACCGTAGTGATGTGAACTATGTAGAATGATGATTATTTAACCGTAGTGATGAGCACTATGTAGAATGATGATTATTTAACCGTAGTGATGAGCACTATATACAGGGCTTCTGACAGGATGCGGGGAAAAAATTGAAATTATGCGGGACTTTTTTCCAGATTATGCGGAGAAAATGGCAAATTATGCGGAATAGGATGCGGGATGACGTCACAATCGAAAAAATTTCTGAATTTTTGTTTTTACAGGATTATACAATTTATTTTTAAATTTTGCTTCTTTATTTAGCTCCAAACTTTGTTTAACTAAAGTTTTATGCAATTATTTACAGTTTTACCTTGATTTTGCTTCTTTATTTGACACGGCCCTTGTTTATTTCAGGTTTTTAATCCACACGTGTAATCGTCGTGTTTTTTCGCACTACACGCAATTCTTCTCGATATGCTTCTCTCTAAAACATTGCTTTGAATGTTTTTTTTTGAAACCTTAAATTTATGATCTGTTTTTGAAGCTCAGCAAAAAATCTCAACGTTATTTACCACCTCACCTCACCCTGCACAACAATATATCGTTTGCATATTCGTAGTTACTGCGCAGTAATAGATTATCTATTATGTATGCCTTATTATAGGAAATTAACTCACTCCACAAAATCAAAAATCCTTATAAATAGCATAATTTAAGTTGTGTTAATTTCTTCTCATTTTTTCCATATTTAACGGCTTCATAATAAATTTATCCATTTTGAGCTATTTTAGAAGTCGCTAGATCTCAAATGTTTACRAGAGAAATATTATTTTACGCGCGAAAATCTTGTCTGCGAATACCCTTCTAGCCAATCAGAGAGTACGTTTTATTTAAGGCTAGTTACCAGGCTCTTTCACGGTTTTTAACTAAGAACGCCTTGTTCCTTTTCATTACACGTATGATTCAATATACAGTTTCAAACGCTGTTTATTGCTTGAAATTTGGTAAGTAAACTATAAAACATTCGTTATTTCATCTAAATAAGAAAACATTATAATACATTTCTTCTTGATTATTAAGTTTTCTTTAGACTTTTGACGAATTATGCGGAAATCATTCGATTGTGCGGAAAAAGGCGAATTATGCGGGTCCGCACCCGCGCATCCTGTCAGAAGCCCTGTACATAGAATGATGATCATTTAACCGTAGTGATGAGCACTATATAGAATGATGATTATTTAACCGTAGTGATGAGAACTATATAGAATGATGATTATTCAACCGTAGTGATGAGCACTATATAGAATGATGATTATT